CCCTCCCACCCCCCCCCCGGAGCGGAAAAGCACGGGGTTCGCGGGGCAATCCCCCGCGCCCCTCGCATTTGAAAACAAAAGCGGCGAAAAGCCGCACCATTTGGGGGCCTTTTCGGGGGTCGGCGACCCGGCCTTTTCCCAGCTCAGAAGATTCTTTGGCCATTTCCGCCCCACGAAGCGCCACCCAAGCACCGACCAAAACGGGCGGCAAAAAAAAAAGGCGCCGAACGAGCGCGCGCGCACACACACACACCCGAGGGGCAGATTCTTCGGCCAGTGGCCAAACTCGTCGTTTAAGCCGGACCCGGTTTTCATCATGATAGAAAAAAACTCGCCCAGCTTTCTGTCACGCGGGGCGCCGTTTTTTCCCAGGTTGGGATTTAAAAAAAGCACCCCCCGTGGGGCTCGAACCCACGACCACACGGTTAAGAGCCGTGCGCTCTACCGACTGAGCTAGAAGGGCCACTGCTAAGTGTGACGATATCTCCTATAAATCAGGTATCATCGATATTGTTTTTTTTTGGAGAACTTTGGGCATGGATGGGACCCCCGCGCCGCAGGTTGAGCCAACGGCCCCTGCCACAGAAACAGCGCCCCAGGCATTTTCTGACCCCTGTGAAAAACCAATGCTTTATGAGCTTTTATAAACTTTTAATAGTTTTATTTTTATATACACGTTTATGGGGTAGAAAATGGCGAAACCATAACGTCGCCAAAGAAAAAGCTCCTTTAGTCTTTGCGAAAGTTGCCCTGCAAATTGCATCGAACGGCGCTGGCCAGCAAACCCCGCACGAATAAAAAAAATTATTTGTCTGACAGAAGAGACGTCGAGTTATACTTTGGTCGGCATTATATTTGGGAGCCTTGGAAATTACCCCTGTTTTGTTGCATGGGTCTTCCAGGGTGTTTCTCCCCTTTGGCCCGCCGCGTTGGAGTTACGGGTTGTTCTAAAACAGACACGCTGCTATGCAAAAAAAAAAAACATTGAAATTTGCCTTATAGTTCGACTTAAAACAGATTCAACATAGGTAGGTTCGCCCCAAAAATATCAAAGCAAATATCAGGGACAATCCATGAGAGAATACCACCGCTTACCCACATGACACGGATGGAAGCTTTGCGCTTTCCAAGACCGTGCAATGAAACGAAAAAAAAGGCGCCGCATTCCAACTAGCCACCCATGGCCCCACCCTTATAAACACAAACCGCTACGAACTCTCTACCATTTTATAACATCTGCAAAGTTATGTTAATAATTTTCTCCTTCTTCTGAAGAATTTTTTTGCTTAGCCGACTTCTACATTCACACACCCATGATTGCACTACTGCAAATATAACCTTAAGCTTGACGAGGTGAATTTATCAACACCAGCTTCTTCAGGGAAACCAAAAGCCCCCACCACGTAGCAATTTACTCCCAATCAAACCCTGGGGAACGTTTCTAATACTAGAAACGCATTATTATGCGACAAGCTCCCTCCGCCATACCACTCTAATATTCTTTGCGCGGAATTGCCGCAGCGAAAACGTTCAACACCACAATCAGATTTTTTTAAAACCAAGAAAACGTCAGAAAATACCACGAGCACCCCACCACGCAACAGCGCCAGCGCAAACCAGACACCAGCGCTTATGCCGGACCGCCGCGCCCTTTTTGGCTTGCGCGCAAGAAAGTAAATGAAAAAGTTTTTCTGCTTCCCCCTTCTCGGCAATTCCCGGCGGCCCCCCGGACCCCCCCCTTTTTTTTTTTGAGGGGGCCGCGCCCGCAGCCGCGGGCCGATTGCCCCGGCCGCCACCCAAGCCCTTTTGAACAACCGGCCGGTTTTTTTTTTTTTGCACACCCGCGCTGTTGTTTTTTTTTC